TGGCGCTTCCATTTGATAAAGTTATGTGATTTGTTACCATTTTCAACATCTAAATGTCCAGGGGGTCTAAACATATCTGCCATGATTGTCAGTTCGAATAATACCGATTACGAAGGCTAAATTCGAATAATATTGAGTACAAATCCTTAGTTCGAATAATATTGAGTACGAATCTTCCCCTTCCCGAAAATGGCCTTTGGACGATATATTTCACTAAAGTGGCAGAAATACTTCACACTGCAGGTGTGAAACAAATAATTGCATACTCCTCCGATGCCACCACGTTGATAGGGTTCTATTATATGCAATTATATGACAATACGAGGGGTTATAAGAGATTTCTGATCTCGCGACCCTACGCTGGATAAAGTAAAGTAAATACGTCAGAACGTAAACTTTAATCCATTCATACAGACGCTTACAATGTTACATAACACTATAAATAAGACATATATATCTGTATATGCTCGTTTTCAAAAACAGTTTGAAATAAAAAAAAGTATGCAAGTCTATATTTAAAAGTAAATAAGGTTTATTTGTTTGATTTAATATTAATTTTGGGTGTTGGACATATTTTTACACCGAGTCTGTCGTAATTCATTCATTCTTGCACGCGCATGCGTGGATACGAAGTTTGAAGCGTAGGTTTACACAATGCTTTTATGAATGAAATAGAAATTTTCATATTTTTTGCTTTCATGTTTAGAAAATGTTTATTTGAACTGAAAGTGCATAGTTTTGAACTTTCAAAGCTTATTGGCCACTATGCAAACAGTATATTAATAAAAAGTGATCTTAATGTGACAATCCTGCAAAATATGGATCTACTTTTATCGAGGTTTCATCCAAAGGTGGATGTTGTTCAGCAAAACACGTTAGGTGTACTAAATCTGAAATACAGCTATAACTCTGTATACATTGCAAGCAATGTATACAAAAATCAACAAAGGGCCATAATTCTGTTAAATTTGGTTGCAGCAAAAATTCCTTCCTTTACTACCATCTACACATAAGGTTGTTCATCCCTGGAAGTTTAAACAAAATCTGCCATCTGGTTGAAGAGGAGTTGCATTCACAAAATTTCTACATAGTATATAGTTAAAAAATCAACAAAGGGCCATAATTCTGTAAAATTTGGTTGCTGCAAAAATTCCTTCCTTCACTACCATCTACACCTTAAGGTTGTTCATCCTTGTAAGTTTAAGCAAAATCTGCCATCCGGTTTAAGAGGAGTTGCGTTCACAAAATTTCTACATAGTATATAGTGAAAAAATCAACAACGGGCCATAATTCTGTTAAATTTGGTCGCAGCAAAAATACCTTCCTTTACTATCAACTACACATTAAGGTTGTTCATCCCTGGAAGTTTAAGCAAAATCTGCCATCTGGTTTAAGAGGAGTTGCGTTCACAAAATTTCTAGTATCTAGTGAAAAAATCAACAAAGGGCCATAATTCTCTTAAATTTAGTCGCAGCGAAAAATCCTTCTTTACTACCATCTACACATTAAGGTTGTTCATCCCTGTAAGTTTAAGCAAAATCTGCCATCCAGTTTAAGAGGAGTTGCGTTCACAAGATTTCGGGACGGACGGACAAGTGCAACGCTATATGCTCCCACATTGTGGGGGCATAAAAAGTCAAAAAGCAGAATCTTTGTGAATCTTTGTGCAAAGAATACATGTCATAGTTTCTTTGACACCAAAACAAAGTCACTACAACGAACCACAGTCCCTGTTGAGATTCGAAACCACAGCTGTGAGAGGCAAGTGGTTTGAAGTCAACAACCTTAACCACTCCGCCACAGGTCAAAGAACTTGAAAGAAGATGAAATTAACATCATTTAAAATCTGACTTTAATAATACTGTCTCAAAAGTTTTACTTACTTGTTTTTTCACATTTGATATAGTCATCTTTACAGGTGCGGTTTGAGCAGGATTTCTCGTCAAACCAGTCTCCGCAGTCATTATCACCGTCACACTGCCACAGGTACGGTATACAATTACCCGTCGTGTTGCACCGGAACTGTGTGTCCAGACATTCTTGTTTCGCTACAATGAAACTAAGTATTGAAGTTACTGAGTCCGCAATTTTCATTTTGTTGTGATTAATGCTTTTCAGGATCACACTTTTTCCAAAAATTTTCACATTACACTTCTTCATTACAAAAAAAATATAAAATTACTGTCAGCTAACACTTAGTAATAAATAAGCAAATATTGATATAAACAAGTCATAAATGTTAGGTATACTTATTAAACTCTTTTAAATATTGACAAACTAACAAAGAAAAATCATCTTGAGTAGAACAAAGCAATAACTAAAAATTTGACAGATGAAGGAAGTCAAAGCACACAAAACATCAAACTTTACAGTTTACAATTTTAACCTTGATCTTAAGGAACCTCAAAAAAATAGATAAAAAATCTTCATGTTTTTAAAAAGCTATCATCTTATGAATTGGCATCTCTATCTAGATGCAACAAGGAGAAAAGTTTCTATCAGGGATAACGGGTTTGAGTCCTATACATACCAATGTTCACTCAGGAAAAAATTCAACGAAAGAGACTTAAATGTAATTAATTTAAGTTACAGCAACTTGTTCCTCAATTTAGCTTTAAACAAATATGTTTAAAAAAATTCCCATAAAACTGAGGAGGAAATTTTTTTTTTTTCATATTTCACAAAACTAGAAATGTATGCATAGGCCACAGTACAGTCGCCCAAACATTCCGCTTTTTTATCAGTCTATAAATGAACAGTAATCAAATGGACAAGGGAAATCTACAGATATATACACCCCACCTCCCTCTTTAGTGGGGGCATAAAAAAGCTAGCTTGAAATATACCACATGACTATATGAACTGGTGAAAATCATCGCTCTCGGCTTAGTGGGGGGCCTAAAAAGCTAGATAGATTTATATGTGACTATATCAAGTCAGAACACCAAGAAAGTGTAAAGATAGAGTGACAATCATTTCCACAAATATATTTCTTAGTAAACTTTTTTCTGCAGCAGATATTAAGTTATCATTAGACTTACCGCAGTCTTTCTCGTCCGCCCCATCGGTACAGTCTTCTTTTCCATCACATTTTCTAATGTCACTGATACATTTATGGTCAGCTTCACACTTGAACTGGTGCATTATACAGGGATAGTCAGCTGAAAGTAATGGAGGAAAAATTAAAGTATGTGATTTTATTTAACCTAACTTTTGTAACAATATTTCCAACAACAGAAATATTTTGATGATTCATAATCATTTAATAGACTGTCAACAGCCACTTGATGATTTGTAATAATTTTAGTGCAATTGTAAACCTTAATTTGTTGTATGCTATGTACCTATTCATTTAAAAACGACCATTTTGATCAGAAAATTTAATAACTGATAAAGCTGTTTATCTCTATTTCACACTTACTATTGATTGAAATAATACATCACAAACTTGTACTGTAAAAGGACAATACAAACATGCAGTATTACGAAACATATCAAGTGACTTACTGCAGTTGTTCCACTGTGTTTCGTCAGATCCATCCTCGCATTGTTTTATACCGTCACAGATCCCTATAGGAGGTATACACTGTGTCTCATTTGTTGCACTTAGACACTGGTATAAACCTGGCTGTCGACAGTAATACGGCTCTAAAAGTAAACAAAATAACAGCAAATAACTACATCTGTTCGAACTTCTGTAAGACGTGTATCATGTCCTCACTGAGAGTATTTGAGCAGCGTTACAACAAAACCAACATAATGGGTTTGCGACCAGCATCCGCGCAGTCTGATCAGGATCCATGCTGTTCGCTATCAGTTTCACTACTTGTAATAAGGTTGGTAAGCAAACAGCATGGATCCTGATCAGACTGGGTCCATGCTGGTCGCAAAAGCATTAAGTTGGTTTTGTCATGACGCGGCTCATTTCCATTATATTCTATATACAGTTTAAGAAACAACTATGACAATATCAATCAATGAATGGTTGTCAAACAGTGACCTTTCTTTAAGTAAGTAAGTAAAATTAAGTAGGTAAGTAGTTAAGAAGTTAAGTAGTTAAGTAGTAAAGTAAGGTAATGTAAGGTAATGTAAGGTAAGGTAAAGCAAAGTAATGTAAAGTAAGTAAAGTAAAGTAAGAAAGTAAGTAAGTAAGTAACGACTTTATTTAATGAGTCTAGCACATTAGGTTTTCTGATCTTCCTTGTCAGCATTCTACGGAGGTGATGTTTACCACCTGTTTTACTGTATAGTAAAAACAAGATTGCATTTGAGAAAAATGCTATGCCACCGCATGGTTCAAATTTTATAGCTGTACATCAAAGGACAAGAAAGTAGGTCACATCATCAAAATCTAGGTCAAAGTTCAATTTTACAACTAAAACTGTGCACATGGTCAAAATGTCATTGCTGTACATCAAAGGACAAGAAAGTAGGTCACTGTCCCCTTGGGCAAGGCATAATTTTGACCCAAGGGTTTAATAACAATCTTGATACAGGTCCACCAAACAACATTTTAAGTCAAATGTCTAAGCTATAGCTTTCTCCCATTCAGAAAACATTTGTTTTATTTTCTGTTTTTACTATGTGTACATAATGAGAATCACTGCCCCCGGGCAGGGCCAATTTTTGACATTTGAACAACTTTGGTAGAGGACCTATAGATGATATTATATATCAAACATCAAAGCTCTATGCCTTGAACCTTCAGATAAAATTTTTTTTTTCACTATATGTACATAATGAAAATCAATGACCCCCGGGGCGGAACCAATTTTGACCCCAGGGCTATAATTTGAACAATCTTGCTAGAGGTTCACTACACAATGTTTCATGCAAAATATCTTAACTTTAGCCTTTGTAAATTTAGAGAAGATGATATTTTAAGTTTTAACTATATACATATAGGATAAACCTATGGCTCCCAGGGGCAGGGCTAATTTTAACACAAGTGGCAAAATTTAAACAACTTTGGTAGAGTACCTTTAGATGATATTATTTAACAAATATTAAAGCTCTAAGCCTTGTACCTTCAGACAATAAGATTTTTTTATTTTTTACTATATTGAAATCAATGACCCGCAGGGCGGGGACAATTTTGACCCCAGGGCTTTAATTTGAACAATCTTGCTAGAGTTTTACAACACAATGTTTCATGCAAAATATCTAACCTTTAGCATTTGTCAATTGCTAGAAGATTTTTTTTTAAAGTTTTTACTATATACATGTAAGGAAAACCAATGACCCCTGGGGCGGGGCTGATTTTGACCCTAGGGCTATAATTTGAACAATCTGGGTAGAGGTCTACCAGACAATGCCTTATGCAAAATATCTAAGCTCTTAGCCTTTTGGTCTTTACAAGAAGGTTTTTAAGTTTTAACTATATGTACATATAGCGAAAATCAATGACCCCGGGGCGGGGCCGATTTTGACCCAGGGCTATAATTTGAACAATGTTGGTAAGGGTCTACCAGATGATGCTTATGCAAAATATCTAAGCTCAAGGGCCTTTTGGGTTTTACAAGAAGGTATTTTAAGTTTTTACTATATGTACATAGTGAAAATCAATGACCCCGGGGCGGGGCCAATTTTGACCCCAGGCCTATAATTTGAGAAATCGTGGTAGAGGTCCACTAAATAATGTCTTATACAAAATATCTAAGCTCTAGGCCTTTTGGGTCTTTACAAGAAGATTTTTTAAATTTATTCTTATTATTCCTTTTGGTTGCCATGGCAACCAGATTTCTGCATGGAATGAAATTCTTTGAACAACTTTGGAAGCCCTTCACCCAAGGAACAATCCTGCCAAGTTTGGTTGAAATTGGACTAGTGGTTTTTCACAAGAAGATTTTTTAAGTTCACTATATAATCTATATAACACACACACACACACGTACATACACACAGGTGAATCGCTATATGCCACCGCATCGCAGATGCTGCGGTGGCATAAAAAACAACGTCAACGTGAATTAAATGAGCCGCGTCACAACAAAACCAACGTAATGTGTTTGCGACCAGCATGGATCCAGACCAGCCTGCGCATTCCCGCAGTCTGATCAGGATCCATGCTGTTTGCTATCAGTTTCTCTACTTGTAATAGGATCTCTAAGCGAACAGCATGGATCCTAATCAGACTGCGCGGATGCCCAGTCTGGTCTGGATCCATGCTGGTCGCAAACGCATTATGTTGGTTTTGTCGTGAAGCGGCTCAAATTAATGTACAAATTTCAACTTACTATCTTTACATTCGGGTGGCTCGTCGGACCCGTCCTCGCAGTCAGTGTGATTGTCACATTTCCACCATTGAGGTATACACTGGGAACTACTCACACACAGCATCTGTGACCTGTAAATATGATAATCGTTGTTGATGAAAGAAAACTTAATGTCTTTACTAGTACTTTACAATTCCTTGCTTAGGATTCCAACATTGTATATTTATTTAACTTTTAAGGTCCAGGAAGTACACTCACAAGTGATAAAGAAGTTTTTTCCTTTGGTTTTTCTGGTTTTGATGTGGATTTTAACACATTTTTAGTCATGTCATATCTCAACAGCAGATCTACCTCACATGCTGTCTTCGATTTCTAACCAATAATTACAAATTTCTCCACAAGTGACCACTAATTCCACATAATTTTGTATAAGCTGTGACAGAAAAGTGACTACAGTATTAAAGTCAATGTCCAAGATGAGTGTCATTGTTGAAATCCTAACTTGAATTTTCTGTTTATTACATACATAATTCTCTTTTCTGACATTACAATTTTAAAGACTTCCCGTTAAATTTTGTGCATTGGCTGAATTAACTTTAAGAAAGTAGTCCGGCAAAGTGAAAAGTACAGAAAATATGATTCAATGCAGTGAAAAATAAAATTTTACAGTGAAAATATCGAAAATGAAAAAACACATTTTATTCAGTCCCCCAAATTTCAGCATTGTTTTGTTAAAAATTGGGAAAAAAATGCATAACTTAATTTTTGCAGTGATTAAATGAATGCAAACAATCACTGTCAAGGAGGGTATCATCAAACACTTAAACACCATAACAGTGAAGAAGCCCTTATTTTCAAAGATTTTAGAATTTTTTCCGGTGGATTGGAAAAATAAATAACATACTTTTTTCAATTTGGAATATGATCGAATATTGGCTAAAAAATAAGCTGGAAAAAAATGCCGTTATTTCATCCAAATTTCATTTAATAGTATATAATAAAACAAATTACGCGTCACAGGCAGCTTTACAAGTCGTCTTGTCAGGATTCAAGTCGTGATTCTCTGGGCATGCACATACAGCGCTCGCATCACGCCTCTTTCCGTCCGGTCCATCTTCCGGTCGTAACAGACACAGATGACTACAGTTCAATGCCTCGCATGGATTTGTTTTCACTGAAAAAGAAAAGTATAAGAGAGGTCAGGTTATTAAGGTTCTAGGTAATAATATTTTGCAAAAACAGAGTTACTACTTGAAAACTCAATTGATATAAGTGAATAAATAATCTGTGATAAAGAATTTTCCCCCTTGTTGTCTACAATTTTCCAACAAAAAACATGCTGAACATGTTCATAAAACCCTAGGAAACAGTTTGACCACAGGGTGACTCCTATATTAACCCCCCTAAACTTTGTTTCGGAGTATAAAAATTTATTATGAAGTAGTTATTTTGGTGAAATGTCCTTAATTTTGAAAAAATTTGCCTTATAGGTCAAAGTCAATTAAGGCTACTAAGTTGTAAATGGCATATATCAATACATATGAATACTAATGAACCTCTTGTCCAGAAGTATGTTGAGTCTAAATAACTGATACTCTGACCTATTATTTGAATAACAATAAATTTAACCATAATCATTGACATGTGCTCTTTTGTTATTGTGAAATTCTCATTGAAAACAACTAATCTTGTAGTTTGAATAAGACAGGTCCGGGTCATGTAGGGATCTCTGCATGCTCTAGCTTGCAGAATGAAGATCTTGCAAAATCAAGATTACAGTCTACTGCAGAGAAACAAACCTACAGACACAATGTGACATCCAATCTATAGATACCCTGGCTATAGGCAACTTCTGTTTTGCACTTATTACTTATTATGTAGTATTGTATATCTCACGGGCCATGTGACCGTATGGAATTTGAATAATAAACTTATCAAAACTTATAACAAGGGAAGATCGACTTACTATCAGGTTGTCTCATTGCATGGTAAACAACCAGATCCATCGGTCTGTGTAACATGGTCACCATCCTATCTCTCTTCTCTCCAGAAAATTTCTCAGCCGTGAACACGCCATTTGTTTCCCAGTCCGTCCAATATATAGAGTCCATGAACGTTGTGAGGGCGAACGTGTGCGGTAAGTTCTCGCTTATCACGACGTGACGATTCTCGCCGTCTAAATCAGACATAGCGATGTAATCGTAATTCGCATCAGCCCAGAACAGTTTCTCAGTCACGTAATCTATAGTCAATGCATTAGGCCAAGCAATTTCTTCAGTAATAATGTGCTTTTTAGTTTTTCCGTCCATCGATATCCGGCTAATGTGCGGTTTATCCCCCCAGTCGGACAAGAATAAGTAACCGTACTTCGGGAACAGCTGAAGTGCTCTAGGTTCACGTAAGAATGATTTATCTTTGATCAGAATTTTTCGATACTTTCCGTCCAATTTGGATACCTCGACAGTGTCTGTATTACGATCGCACCAGTACAAGTTGCGACCAATCCAATCCACCGCCATTCCATCTGGGTTTAGAACAGATGAACTGTGCAATACCTGAACAAGAAATAGTTCTTTTAGAATCCTGTTAATGGCAATGCATATAAACATATCATGAAAATGATAAACTCATGATTGTCATACGGTTTGATTATCTAAGAACTCTTCTTATACTGATTAAATTAAAACAGCCATAGAATTATCCTGTTTTTGACATCAAGTATGATTTTGTAAATATCCATTTCAAAGATTTTACAAGAGCTATGGATAACTGAAATCACTAAACAATGTTTTGCAAACCAGCACAATTCAATGTGTACCTTGTTACAAGCATCTGCTTCTTCCAATTAATTTACTTTTCTCTTCTTTGGAGCCTATATATTTTAACTTGCACTACTTGTGTAAACAGGGATGTAGACTCATTTATCCAAAATGATAAAATCAACAATGACCTAATTAAAAGTTACAAGAATGATCAAAATATTGCCTGAATATTGCCTGGTGGCGTTGCTGAGTGGTAAACGCGTCTGACTAGTAATCTAAGGATTGCTAACCGTGTGGGGTCAAACCCTGTCAGAGTCAAGCCCCTGTTTCCTTGAGTAAAGAAACTTTACCCTCATTGCTTAGTACTGGTTGGTTCAAGAAACAGAATCGAAAGTGTTTCAATAAGCTTATACCTTCCAACACAAACTAAAATTTGTATAAACTAAAATAATTGCCTATATTAAATATAGGGGAGATAAATGTGTTATTAACCTCAATATCCTCCGATTCCGGCCGGTCTTTGGTACGATTTAGAGATATCCTATTTATAGTACTGCTCTGACTATGTATGTCCGTCCAGTACAGTTTCTGTTCTTTATAATCAAAGTCGATGGCGACGGAATGAGTGAGGTTGTGAACGATGATATCAATAGTTCCGTCAAAGTCGACCTTCTTGATGTAGTAACGGTTTGATACGAGCAAATATGGCTTCCCCTCTGAAATACCATAAATAGGAAAATTAATAATACAGTAAAAACTCGCTAATGAGACCAATAAAGGGACTTTACAAATCTGGTCTTAATATCGGGTTGGTCTCATTAATGAGTTTGGTCAAACAGAAAACAAGGCAATTAATTAAGGGATACCGTGTACTGTACACATGTTTAATTCTGGGCTAACCTATTTCAAATGAGAAGATATAAAGCATACACTATTATTTTTTTATTTTCATTTAATTTCTTTTACTTTTTAACATTATAATATTTTGAAACTTCTAAACACAAACATATTTTTACATTCTTGTTAAAAGAATGACATGAATTACTCAATTAAATCACCATTTTACTACAAAGCACACCGAACAATTAACCTTTAATTATTTTCACAGTTTTCATCGCCGATAACAACTTCAAAAACCTAATTGTGTCATGTTTTTGTTTGTTTAAAATTATGGAACGAAAGAGATAATGATAGCAGCAACACCTCTAAAAATTTTATTGAAAGTTTTCTGTTCAATATTTTGTTGTTTTAATCCTCCAGTTATGACATTAAAGGTGTGAAATTAAGAAATTATCGACAATATGATTGATCATTTCCGGGTTTGATACAAAGTAACCTTGACCTCTGCCGTAAATTGGGTGTCGTCAAATATTGTAAAACTAGGACAACTGTTGTTAACACTACGTGTCAAAAAGATTTCAGCAATATACATGCATGTCAATATCAAGGTGAGAAAGTGCCCGCGGTCGTAGTTATGGGTTTCCAAATGTACAGAATTTACGAAATGGGACTGAATATACTGGTCGTATTACGGAATAACGGGGTGGTCTCAAAATCGGGGTTAGCGACCATTAAAATAAAGAATAAAAAATCGGGTCTTTAAAAAATCGTTCGTATTAGCGGGTTGGTCGCGAAAACAGGGTGGTCGTAAAGCGGGTTTTTACTGTATAACTAAAATACTAAAAGAAACTAGAACTGCCACTGTCATGGCGTGAATACCCCCGCATACCAGAATCAACAGTGACCATTTAGAACCACTCTGCCAAATCTGAGGTTATTAAGCCAAAATTGCGAAGATATGTATTCTCCATGCTTCAAATGTTAAAATTTCAAAATCAAGTTTTTTTAGTCAAGGCCCCTGTGACCTTGACCTTTGACCCAGTGACTTCAAAATCAATAGGGGTCATTTACTAATCATGACTAACCTCCATGCCAAATATGAAGACTGTGGGCCAAAGGAATCTCAAGTTATTGGGAATACAAGCTTTTTTTAAGTCAAGGCCCCTGTGACATTGAACTTTGACCCAGTGACCTCAAAATCAATAGGGGTCATCTACTAATCATGACTCACCTCCATGCCAAATATGAAGACTGTGGGTCAAAGGAATCTCAAGTTATTGGGCAGACAAGCTTTTTTTAAGTCAAGGCCCCTGTGACCCTGACCTTTGATCCAGTGACCTCAAAATCAATAGGGGTCATCTACTAATCATGACTAACCTCCATGCCAAAATGAGAGTGTGGGTCAAAGGAATCTCAAGTTATTGGGCGATCAAGGTTTTTTAAGTCAAGGTCCCTGTGACCTTGACCTTTGACCCAGTGACCTCACAATCAATAGGGGTCATCTACTAATCATGACTAACCTCCATGCCAAATATGAAGACTGTGAGTCAAAAAATCTCAAGTTATTGGGCGGACAAGGTTTTTTAAGTCAAGGTCTCTGTGACCTTGACCTTTGACCCAGTTACATCAAAATTAATAGGGGTCATCTACTAATCATGACTAACCTCCATGCCAAATATGAAGACTGTGGGTCAAAGGAATCTCAAGTTATTGGGCAGACAAGCTTTTTTGTTAGTCAAGGCCCCTGTGACCTTGACCTTTGACCCAGTGACCTCAAAATCAACAGGAGTCATCCACTAATCATGACTAACCTCCATGCCAAATATGAAGACTGTATGTCAATGGAATCTCAAGTTATTGAGGGGACAAGGTTTTTTTGTCAAGGCCCCTGTGACCTTGACCTTTGACCCAGTGACTTCAAAATCAATAGGGGTCATCTACTAATCATGACTAACCTCCATGCAAAATATGAAGACTGTGGGCCAAAGCAATCTCAAGTTATTGGGCGGATAAGCCTTTTAAAGTCAAGGCCCCTGTGACCTTGACCTTTGACCCAGTGACCCCAAAATCAATAGGGGTCATCTACTAATCATGACTCACCTCCATGCCAAATTTGAAGACTGTGGGTCAAAGGAATCTCAAGTTATTGGGCGGAAAAGGTCTTTTTTTTTAGTCAAGGCCTTTGTGACCTTGACCTTTGACCTGGTGACCTCAAAATCAATAGGGGTCATCTACTAATCATGACTAACCTCGATCCCAAATATGAAGACTGTGGGCCAAAGGAATCTCAAGTTATTGGGCGAACAAGCTTTTTAAAGTCAAGGCCCCTGTGATCTTGACCTTTGACCCAGTGACCCCAAAATCAATAGGGGTCATCTACTAATGATGACTAACCTCCATGCCAAATATGAAGACTGTGGGCCAAAGGAATCTCAAGTTATTGGGCGGACAAGGAAAAACCGATGGACGGACGGGGAGACGTCCGGAGGAGCTGATTCCAAAAATTAATAGGGGTCATCTACTAATCATGACTAACCTCCATGCCAAATATGAAGACTGTGGGCCAAAGGAATCTCAAGTTATTGGGCGGACAAGCTTTTTAAAGTCAAGGCCCCTGTGACCTTGACCTTTGACCCAGTGACCCCAAAATCAATAGGGGTCATCTACTAATCATGACTAACCTCCATGCCAAATATGAAGACTGTGGGCCAAAGGAATCTCAAGTTATTGGGCGGACAAGGAAAAACCGACGGACGGACGGGGAGACGGACGGACAAGCTGATTCCAAAAATCAATAGGGGTCATCAATTAATCGTGACTAACCCCATGCCAAATATGAAGAATGTGGGCCAAAGGAATCTAAAGGTATTGGGCAGACAAGCTTTTTAAAGTCAAGGCCCCTGTGGCCTTGACCTTGACACAGTGACCCCAAAATCAAAAGGGGTCATCTACTAATCATGACTAAACTCCATGCCAAATATGAAGACTGTGGGCCAAAGGAATCTCAAGTTATTGGGCAAACAAGGAAAAACCGACGGACGGACGGACGGGGAGACGTCCGGACAAGCTGATTCCAGTATACCCCCCTTGCAACTTTGTTGTGTGGGGGTATAAAAATGTAAAACAATTTTATGTGTACTAACTATACTTCAATCAAAATATCATATAAAGGGAAACATCTACAGAATAATAAGTAATAATATAAAAATCTTAAAATCTTCATAGCTAGATAAATAGGTATCACTTTATGTTCATTGCTCTTCTTTAGGTTTTATTTTTTTTATTCCATTAATTTTCCTTCGGGGGGGATAAAATAAGAGAAGATATATCATGTTAAAATTGGATTCAAACCTTCATTTGTTAGACTGCAGTGTCTCTTGTCACCCTTTAGTTTATAATGCTCCGCACATTCACAGTAAAATGAGCCGACAGTGTTGAAGCAGAAATGTGAACAAGGATATGTCGTCTTACACTCATCAATTTCTAAAAATAGAATAAAAAATCAATTTCTAAAAATAGAATAAAAATTGCGAACTTATCATCATTTATACATTGCTATTTGCACTATTAGATTTAAACATTGTTTTTTGCACAATTAGATTTATTTTTGCACTACTATATTTCTAGACATATTACTAAAATTGTGAACATAAACATTAAGCAAGCACTTTTCAAACTGTAAAATTTATAAAAATGCTCATATAAATCTATATTCACTTTGCACTTATCAATTTCTTAAAACTGAACAAAATTATGAATGTAACATTCATAGTTTGCATCACATTCATCAATTTCTAATTAAAGGAGATAAGCAATTACTGCTAATTTCACATCTTATGAAGTCAATCATTCAAATTCTCCATGGATAAAAATCCTTCTAAACTGCTGGAATGAAAAGCGATAAGCCTTTACCACAAGTATGGAGCCAGGCAAGCCTACTCTTTAGTACAGCCTGACCAGGCTCTATACTGTTGGTAACTCAATTTTTGTATTCCAATATTGAAATCCCTAAAGATTCCAATAGACTGTCCCAAATTCAAAGCAAGGCAAATCCATTACACAAATTTAGGAATGTTAAGGGCAATACAATAAGCCAAAATATTAATCTATTTATAGAAAACGTACCTTCACATGTCCGTTTATCTGCCCTTAGTTTGTACCCAGGATGACAGCTGCATTCAAAACCAATTATCTGCTTATTACAGATCTGACTACAGGGTTGTCTTTCCTTACACTCATCGATGTCTGAAAATATTCATTCTCCATTAAAGTCCCCTACCTTTACATGATTTTAAAAACATCTATTCAGATAATACTACTATACATCTTATAAATGTCTGTATCTGAAAATGAAAACCTTTAATAGCCTTGTAAACACAAATATTTTTTTGTTAGCTTAAATTCATTGCATTTTCAGTGATTAGGAAAAGGTTTACTTATTATTTCTTTAGTATATATGGGCACAGAGCTTATTCTCTTGTAAGTGGCGTGTGTTTATACGAACACTATAAAGGTCATATGACAATTTTCTGGCTTTAACAAAAGTCTGATGTCCGCGCCTGGGCGAGGACAATGGCTCGCCCTTTTCTTCAAATAGTCGAGCTAAAAATCACCATCAGAATTCAAAGTCTCTGGCAGAATTGAAATCCACTGAAGTAAGGGAACCAGTGAAGTTAGGGGCAACAGATATATATCCTTCAAAGGCTCTGGCAGAATTGAAATCCACTGAAGTAAGGGAACCAGTAAAGTTAGGGGCAAGAGATATATTAATTACACAGCAAACTTAAGGATTAAAACCATATTGGATTGTTTTACATCGACTTATGTTGGTTAATATCATAATAACCCGAGACTGCTCTCGCTTTCTTTAGAAAGTTTTCAGATACCTACATATACTATGTTTTTGGTCATGTGAGAGGATGTTTTCCCCTGTGATGTCATAATTTGATAAGATTTCAATATGTCCTCCAGAACACGAGCTCATTTAAGTCCGTAATCCTTAAACACTAAATTTTAACATAAATAAAACAATGATGAAAGTTAACATACTGCATTCTGGTGACTCATCACTTTCATCACCGCAATCGTTCACTCCGTCGCACACCAGATTCATCGCAATACAGGCAAAGTTCGCACATTGGAAGCTCTGTGTTGAGTTTTTACATGCATTTGTTGGACATTGTTTCTCGTCGGAATTATCTGCACAGTCAAACGTACCGTCGCAACGTTTCGTCTTATCAATACAATAGCCATCATCGCACTCAAATTCATAATCTGAACAAGTGAATGACATTTCTAAAAAAAAAAAGAACATACTTTGGTTATACATACATTATATACTACAATAATATCAATAGCTTATAAGTGAATCTAACTTTAAATGTTCAACTTCCAATAATGTGATCTATATATAGTTACAATCACTTTACCTACCACATCAACCTAAAAAAAAAATTGCTTGAAAAAAGTAAACACATTTTTTTCCCCAGTGTTTTGGCCTTATTAGTGAGAAATTACATTGCTTTGATTCTTGAGCTGGCCAACTGAAATAACTAATCAGTCTTTCGGATTAGAGCTTTTTATCAAAGTTCCATGTACGAGTGCTTAACACTTGGCATGTTAAAGAACTCCAGAGAAACTTCTGAATTGGGGCATCTTGCTGTCTCTGTATGTTGCACTATCCTTCAAAATATAAAATGACTAATACACTTCTAAAAAACTTGCCCACAAGGGCAAGCCAACTGGTGACGAGTATGAATAAACCCATATACACATACAAAGAAATTACACATACCAACACAGGTATCAGGCTCATCACTACCATCCCCGCAATCATCATCTTTGTCACAGAAAAACTCTTTTTCTATACAACGATAGTTCAGACATTTAAACTCATTCTCTTCACAATCCACTGGCTCTGTAACAAATATACATACAAATTCATATAATATAATGCAAAAATCTTCAATAGCTTGTCAGCATGTTTAAAAAAATGCAAGTGTGAGGTATAATAAGAGTCTTATTAATTTCGACATTATTAAGCAATAGATGCTTTTCATGAATCATGAATTACCTCCCTTGGCCATCATTTTCCAAGTAAATCTAAATATATTTTATACTTAATGTAGGAAAAATTACTAACAATTCAAATTTAATATAATAATTCAACTTTTTATGCAAGTTAGAGATTACAAACCTTAATGAATTGGAAAAAAATCAACTAATGTAGGGTAATAATAGTTATAAACTGAAGCTGCTCTAGCCCTCATTGGACAGTTTTTGTAATACAGTGTAACCACTACACAGTGGCCCTCTGTAGACCAATAATCTCTTTTTAAAGTAACAGTATCAAATCTTCCCAAGGTAACACTTCATAATAGATTTAATCTCTCCAGAACAACACCTCTCATAAACAACCAATTCTTTGTCTCCCAAATGATATTGCTCTCAGGTTTGTACTATAGCTATATTTAGCAAATTATTCTTGTGTGAGAGACTGTATTCCACTATGACATAATTATTTGAAATATTAATAATACCAATATGGCCGCCTACGTACATACTCATTAGGGTCTATAATCATTACAATATTAGTTTAACATTAGAAAGACTGTTTCAAAAGCTTAATAAACATACCACAACCGGCAGTTGCACTTTCGTCTAGCCCGTCCACGCAGTCTGGTTCCCCGTCACATTTCCATTCTTTTTCTATACAACGATCATTTGAGCACCGGAATTGTTGGTCTGTGCAATTTTTAGCAGCTGTAGAAAAACAAAATAGAAATTTTAATATACAATTTTTTTTTATTATAAATCAATTACCTACTGTGATTTAGCCACAAAACTATGATTAGTAGTCAGATATGCTACAAAAATCAAACCAAAAGAATAGTTACTTCTAATTGGCTAAAAGAAAAAAATAAGTATTAAGCAAATAAATTGGAAAATAAATTGTGCATGACTGTGATATACATGTACATGTCATGCCTGAAATATGTGATAGTATGAAATATAGATGAATATAAAACACATATACCGTAGTTTTGTAATATTGCACATTTTGAAAAATCGATTGTCATTAGATAATTGCCATGTTAATCTCATTTATAAATAATTCAAACATACATGCCTTCTGCAAATTTACAAACAGCTTTCTATTTTACTCATAAAAAAGAAATGTGCAGTTCTATAAATTTGTTATATAGATTTTTTAACATGTCACATGACCATGTTTAAATGGTGGTTTCAATATAACCCTCATCTGGTAGCTTGGGTTGGTTATATAAACTCACAACCATTTAAAGTGGGTCATATAACTTGCCAAATAAAATTTTGTAACTTATAGTAAAAAAACTTATTAAGCAACCAGGTCTTTAAAAAAAACAACAACTGTGATTGGTTAATCAACAATCTGATTAGTTGTCCTATAACACATTAAATGTACATTAACAGCATTCCATTAACCAACTTTTTATATTCCCATATCTACTGAAAAAAAAAAACAACCTCATTTTTAAGCAACTTAAGCAGACGTTGAAAATTCTACTTATCAGCTCGTAATTACAAGTAGAATTTAAAGAGAACTCAATGCAGGACAAGTAGAAAAAATGTTGCCTATACATTGGATTTAGAAGCTACTCATTCTGCATGATGAGTGACAAATTTTTTTCAATGCCTGCTTTAGGCTAAATATAGCTTTTATAATTTATACTACAGCTCATCTACAATGAAAGCTCCAAGTTTATGTCAACCACTCACAAATCTGTTTCCTGATTATTACCCACTACTGATGTCATATAAAGAAAGAAACTTGGCAGTTATTGAAATAAAGCCAATAGTTGGGTAAAAAAATTCAAAGTTCTCATTTGTAATGCACTGATTGATGTTCACATCTTATATGTCATCATAGAAGATGCTTTTTATGTTATATCCATATGAAGTTCACTTATATGCTTTAGCTGTCATAATATTCTATTTCAAAAGCAACAATTTTATCAGATTTCTTAATATTCAATTATTAGATTTCTTATTTCAAATTGTTTATGCTCGATTCCCTTCTTCAGCACATAATTACTGGTAAGTAAAACTTCAAGGTAATATAATATATAAAAGGGATATTTAAAGCTGTGAGGTATTTGCTTGCAACATGGAAAAAAAATGTATTCCAAGTGAATAATGTTATACATTGGTAAAATTGGGAAAAAGAAATTTATGAAAAGTAAATCTCCCTTTTGATAGAAACTTAATAGGGTAACCAATTTTCAATCTATACTCAGTGTTTAAGAATTTACTTAGATAGTTGTCACTTCAGCAAAATTGATACAAGAAAATCATACACTAAAATATTTCAGTTATTGATTCCGTTCAGTCTTTACACTCCTTCTTCAGCTAAACTGGTTTTATGAATCTGTAATATCAAAATTCATTTATACATCCTAAAACATCTTAATAGCCAAGTTTGTTGATTTTTTTCTGTAGTTTTTGACAACTTGTCTGTTTCAAATTTTGAATAATTTATAAAATTGGCCCTCCAGGCACTCTTTGTGTCTCATTTACTTGGAACCTGGGACATTTAGTTTTTTAGCTAGACTTTTTTGTAACATGAAACAAGATTGCATTTGTGAAAAAGCAGATGCTGCTGTGGTGGCATATAAAAAACATAATGCTCTTGTGGGAATCGAGCCCACGGTGGTAAGCGACAGGTGATTCAGTGTTGATTGTCACATGATTTGGCAAGAAAGCCCTATTACTTACTAATGTGTATCTAAATAATACAGTATATACCAAACCAAAACTACCATATACATCAACACACACTTTGCATTATCAAAACATTGTATACAAGACAAAACTGGACAACAAGAATGGTTCCATTAAAGCTCTCGAAACATTCACACTTTTTTAAAATGATTATTCAATCAACCCTAAAATTTAAAGATGATGATGTATATGACTCAGAGCAAAACAAAGTACATCAAACAGTTCACAAGATTCAAAAAGGTTTTTCCACTTCCTATTACTTGGACCTCTACTATAACAATTATAAAATAGCAATTCATTCAAGTTTTCTTCAGGGCAACAATGCCATTTTTCCTACAGTGCAGAACATATTATATTACAATATATACAATTATAAAACAATTCAGGTATTGGACAAATTTTGTTATCCTTCTACATTTTATTTTTTCATTCATTTTATTTCTAAATCTTGGGCTAACAACCAGACCAGAGTTGTTATTTTTTTGAAAGTCTTGTGTCCCATACCTTAATTCTCTTTCAGTTGCATAGACCACAGTGTCTATTTACAGCATTAAGCACATGGACTAAATACATTGACAGAATCCCATATCCAGTTAAATACTTTCTATAATTCATCCCTGAACGCCAAGTACCAATTTCTTTATATAATATAAATACATCAACTTTTGGTTCCGACCCTGCACAGGGTCAAAACCAATGTCCTACCACACAACATGGCATAAGCTCTTCCACTAGGAAACACACATCAACGCCTACCATAATGTTGCATTGACTTTAATTTCTTAATGAAAAAAAAACATTGTCCTTAAATTTGTGAAGAAATTCTGTTCTTTATTGAAAAATGCTGTTCTTTATGGTTAAAACAAAATTTTCTTCAATGTGACTGATGTTGGGTAGAAGGTGGTGGAGACCTGGACCCTAAGATAAAGGTTTTAAGTTCAGATATAGATAAGATTTTTGCGACATTCTAGAGGTCTATATCAGCTTGACTTAATTAAAACATTATGTATAAATTATGTCCTCCCAAGTGAGGAGTACCACACAAGCAGTTTAACTGTAAAACTAGTTTGAAATAAACAGACAAGGAACATCGCAATGCGATGCAACCAGGTTTTCAGCAAAATATTTCACAGAAGCTTTGTCATGAAGGGGCATTTGTTTTTAATTGAACTTTTAGGAGGAATTATGGCTTTTTTAATATTCCTCAAACAAAAATGATTGAGAAATTTTATGTTGTCTATTCGCCTTTTTTCCCCAAATGTTTTAGAAAGGTAAACAGTACTTTATTTTTGCTTAATTTTTGCATTTTTGCGTCTCTTGTCATTTTCTTTTGTCAACAATATTGGCGTGTGGTGTTTTGTGCGATATCAAGAAAAGTATGTTCACAATTTAAAAAAAATACTTGAATGATGTCTTGGAAGAAACATGGGAATTTAGTGAGCGCCAGGGCACTTGATGACAAAGCTGTGAAAGTTTGGTCAAAATCCATTGAGAAATGTAGGAGAAGTTGCGCACTGTAGAAATTGTTCACTATATATTCTGTATAAGGAAAAAATATACAAAGGGCCATAATTCGGTCAAATATTATCCAATCACAAAACCCCGACAATATGTGCCAGGCACTTGAAAACAAAGCTTCTAAGAAAGTTTGGTCAAAATCCGTTGAGAAATGTAGGAGGAGTTGAGCACAGAAGAAATTGTTCTCTATATATTCTGTATAAGGAAAAAATATACAAAGGGCCATAATTCGGTCAAATATTATCCAATCACAAAACCCCGACAATATGTGCCAGGCACTTGATAACAAAGCTTCTAAGAAAGTTTGGTCAAAATCCGTTGAGAAATGTAGGAGGAGTTGCGCACAGAAGAAATTGTTCACTATATATTCTATATAAGGAAAAAATATACAAAGGGCCATAATTCGGTCAAATATTATCCAATCACAAAACCCCGACAATATGTGCCAGGCACTTGATAACAAAGCTTCTAAGAAAGTTTGGTCAAAATCCGTTGAGAAATGTAGGAGGAGTTGCGCACAGAAGAAATTGTTCACTATATATTCTATATAAGGAAAAAAAACAAAGGGCCATAATTAGGTCAAATATATACCAATTGCAAAACCCCGGCAATATGTGTCAGGGCACTTGATGACAAAGCTTCTGAGAAAGTTTGGTCAAAATCCGTTGAGAAATGTAGGAGGAGTTGCGCACAGAAGAAATTGTTCACTATATATTTTATATAAGGGAAAAAAACAAAGGGCCATAATTAGGTCAAATATTATCTAATCGCAAAACCCCAACAATATGCGCCAGGGCACTTGATGACAAAGCTTCTGTGAAAGTTTTGGTCAAAATCCGTTGAGAAATGTAGGAGGAGTTGCGCACAGAAACTATATATTCTATATAAGGAAAAAAAACAAAGGGCCATAATTAGGTCAAATATATACCAATTGCAAAACCCTGGCAATATGTGTCAGGGCACTTGATGACAAAGCTTCTGTGAAAGTTTGGTCAAAATCCGTTGAGAAATGTAGGAGGAGTTGCGCACAGAAGAAATTGTTCACTATATATTTTATATAAGGAAAAAAAACAAAGGGCCATAATTAGGTCAAATATTATCTAATCGCAAAACCCCGACAATATGCGCCAGGGCACTTGATGACAAAGCTTCTGTGAAAGTTTGGTCAAAATCCGTTGAGAAATGTAGGAGGAGTTGCGCACAGAAGAAATTGTTTACGCCGCCCGCCCGCCCGCCCGTCCGCCCGCCCGCCGACATACCTCAATCTAATAACCAGTTTTTTCCTTCGGAAAACCTGGTTAAAAACTAAACAAGAGAAGATAAACTTGTACATTGAGTATAATACTGAAAGGTAAGATGGGCAACATTTGGAATGTTTTATACAAGGCATGAAAGCACTGTGGATCAAAAAAGGAACAGTTCTTCTTCAACAGTACGATAATTTACATACTAAAATTTCCTTCTTTCTTGATCCATTCCTCTGAAAATAAAATGTGTGTATACCTCCATTATTTATAGCTATACATTGTATTTGTATGCTCAATTTAGTAACACAAAATAACTGTCAAACAATCACTACAAAATATATATATATATGTTTTATTTACCCTTTACCATGCTAAATATCTTAAATGGACTCGTCCATCTTTCTTTCTGGACAAAACCATTCATTCTTTTTAGGGATAATTTCAACATAGATTGTCTGACTGTCTGGAAAGCAAAGTTAACAGTTCAGACCATGATCAGATGGCACAGTAACAGAGTAAGTTGTTCTAAATTTAAAACGAGTTAATCAGTTATTGCACTGAGGTGACAGGAGTTAATCAGTTATTGCACTGAGGTGACAGGAGTTAATCAGTTATTGCACTGAGGTGACAGGAGTTAATCAGTTATTGCACTGAGGTGAGCCTATCTGGGTCATCACTGGGTGCATATGTATATTCATTTGTCACCAGCAGACTAAAACTTTAACTTTTTTGTGACTTTTTAAATATCAGTAATATAACAACATACAAGTTTCAATAAACATTCTGCTGTTCTGAAATATTTTCCTCCTATTTCTCAAATGAAAAGTACATTATGATGCTGTATTCAATTCAATTAAATTCAATTAAAATTCAAAGAATGGAACTGAATTGTGAAATAATGTTATTCTACCCTCTGATCAAAAACTTATAATGGTTAATATCTTGGAAGAAACATCACAAAATTTAATATTTTACCAAAAGTTTTACTTTATCTGACACAGAAATTAAAACCATGTTAAATGTAAAACTCATTCTTATTGCACTTACTTAGGGAGATAAAATCTTGCCCTATTCATAAAGCCAAAAGTTATAATCTTGTTTACCAAAGCTAATATTCTTGACTGAAGCTTAATATTGCAAAAAACATCAAGAGAGAGAAAAAACAGCATCATTTGAAATCCTAAATTCTAAATCCAGTTTAATTTCTGTAATACAGCCATTTTAGAATACATTTACAAATATTCTCTTAAAATATTTTGCAGACCAATCTTTTCTCCGACAAAAAAAAAACAAACTCTAAAAGATAAGACATTTCAAAGAGCCTCTTAAATTCTTTTTTTTATGTCTTCACTAAAAGTCAAATTAGCAGTGGTGAAACCATCAGCATATTGCGTCTACACTAAAGTAAATATTTCTTTTCTTTTATGGAGATACTCCAAAAAAGACAGTCTCTTGCCTTAGAGACTGTTCCATATGTATTATGCATATAGATACCGTAAAATTCCTAATAAACGCTCCTCCCCTAATAAAGGCCCCCCCCCAGGCCTTTTGATAAGGGAAACAATCTACTCATCAGTGCTGAACTCATAATTAAAGCCATAATTTTATTCAAAGCATTCAGAATCCATTTTATTTTATAGTAAAAACAAATATGTATAATATGAACTTTTAAACCTTAACACTATTTAAAGTTATTACCAACACTTGCTAACACTAAATGTATTTACAATGATTTTTGGATTTAGGAAAAACTGTGTTGTAATAATAGCCCCCCCTTTTGGAAAAGGTTTAGCCCCCGGGGGCGTGAAATAGGAATTTTACGATAAGTCTTTGGCTCCCTAGACACATGTTATTTTAGAAGGTTTCTTATATCTTTTATATATATTGTCTGTTCTGTCCATATTTGATATCCGAACCATGATTAATCTTCTAGCTTACCAGACAAAACTGTCAGCAATATCAGCCATCAACAGGCATAACTAGTCAACAGTATGATTTGTTCCCCTTTTTATTAGGGATGGTTATGAATGAATCATATTCTATATAAGAAAGAGACTGTGAGAAAAACTTTCCCCATTTCCCAAACCAAATATAGATGACTGACAATCTATATTTACTTGAAGTAAATAAATATGAAATATATCACACCAGAGGTGTCAAACATTTAAGATATTTTTTACAATGTGTCTGTTAACCAAAGAGAGTGTTTTACAAAGAATGATGGAGGAAGTAGACTGTAAGTGCATAATTATTTTAAAATCTTATTTTGACAGAGCTCAGCATATGGAGCTTGCAATTACCACTACCATCCATGAACAGGCTGAATCAAACCACAGCTTGTAATATTTCAATTTTGCCATGTTGGGCTTTCTTTAGGGATTCTGTTTTTCTCTATTTTAGAATAATACTAAATATTTAACAAGAAGCTGAGCAAGGTTAATCATGGATGCTGGTCAATCAAATATTAAATATGTTCCGATCTTATAAAGGTAGGTTATTGAATTTTACACTGTTCATTTAATGGTAAACATACAGATGGTGAAAACTGTAACATTTTCTTTTCAGACATTTAATGCTCTATCAGAGTAGACCATATGGTGCTTGTGTCCTTGATGGCATAGCTTTGTTTTTGTTACTTTACAACCTTAAAATAATACGCATTAAGCCCAGATTAGCTTATTAATATGCTAATGAAATGGGTAATACCTCGGTCATTCTTTAAATAGTATCATGAATCATCATAATAAAAATGTACCGTTGACAACCACCCCCCCCCCCTGTTTATTCCATATCTTTTTTTATTTCTCTTTTTTTTCTGGGATATGGGGAGGAGGATGTTTTATCAAAACTTCACAACTATTTTGTATATATGTCAAGCTTCACTGGCTGATTAATATTGAATACTAACAGGCATTATTTCCGCCTAAAGCAGGCACCATTATAAGTGGAATCAGCACATAAATGAATATTTGTACACTGTGTGTGAAATCAAATTACAGTTTAAGACAACAATGCCGAATAAATCATGTTAACACATAAAACATAATATTCATCTGAATATCCTGGAAAACTTCAGAATAACCTAAGATTTTCTACCTGAAAAACTTATACTTTTCTGTCAAAAAAGATCACTATTACCATTTCTAAATTTTAGTTGACAGGTTTCACTGTATGTTTGAAATTGTTTGTCTGCTGATTATTTTTGTTGTTTTGTTGGGTTGTTTTTTTTACACTGAATTTAACATCATTTTTTCACTTTCTTCAATATTGAATATTTTTTAGTTTGTTTTTCTTTCAAGGGGAAGACAACCTTAGATTTCCAAGACAAGTATATAATACATAAAATATGTATACCGGTATCTATATCATAATATAAGTGCCTGGACAGGAAATTTACATATAGCATTACGAATGAGTCATTGCAAGCTTCCAAATAACCTAGACTACATATTGTAACCAGCATCATCAACAAACATCTGGTCTACCTTGAATATATACAACTTTTTCACATTTACATTTTCTAATATCTTGTCATGCAATATTATAATAGTGATACAGGCAAAATATATGTTTCTTTAACTTATAAATATAGGATATCCAATGGGTTTAGATTCCATGATACTGAATTTATTGATCAAGTTGAAAAAAAATTATGTTATATAAGTCTGAGATCAACATAATATCAATTTATTCGATGTGGTTGATAAATTTCACAAACTAAAACAAATATTATATTATTGCATAATTTTTCACATATCTACTACAAGAACAGTTTAGAGTAAAATTAAAACCAATTATTTTTATCACAAATGGGCTTAAATGATAACACTAACATTTTGAGCGACTTAACACAATGATTGAATAATGCAATGATATTTCATGAAAATATGAATTTTTATCCAAAGCATGCCATATAATTTTCTAAACAGTCACTAAAACTGTATAAAGCCAAGACAAGTCACACAATCCATTTGAAAACAAACTTTCTTGTCAAAAAGTTATGACTACACCAAGAAATGAACAGAAAATTCAACATTTTCTTGTTATAACAACAATTAAACAGGTGCGTAATTCAAGACAAACAGCATCTGCCTAAACATTGTCAAACATAAGACCGGAATAACAGCATTTTATCGAAACAATTTTAAAATTTTAACTGGTCAATTAAGAATAAAAGTGACTGCAAAGTTCCGATCAAAAACGCTTCAAAAACCTCTAACCTTACCTATGTTAACGACTTGACAACAATAAAACTATTGAAAAGTTATTATTTCTAACTAACAAACTGTAATATATTATATATTTGTAAAACAAAATATTACTGCAACATCTTATTAGCTATACTAATCACAAGTTAATATATGAGCATATACAATAATAACTTACGGCACTGCTGTTCGTCGCTCTTATCTTGACAATCATTATTACCATCACATACCCACGAATGCGAGATACAAGACGAGTCATTCTTACACATAAATTGTTCTTTGGAACAATGATACGCTGAAAATAAAATTTCGATTGATGTTGTTGCTTTTTTTCCCCTGTTACTATTAAGCAAATACATATCTCAAATTTTCAATGTCTTCAGGCTATTTATGTTTATATATACAATGTATATAAAATCTGTAAAATATCATTAGCAATTTTTCCCTTATGGGCCTCAATTTTTCTTATGATATTTAAAAATTTAAAAAGTACTTTTATATAAAAACAAAACAGTGCCACATATCACATGGAAGTCATCCTTTTATTTTTCCCCTTATGTGCCCTGATTTTACTTAAAATATTCAAAAAGTCTGTTAACATAGAAATGAAACAGTGCCATACGTTACACTGTTACATCAAAGTCATTCTGTCTTTTTCCTCCCATTTATCCCAGCAACCAATATAACTACATCTTAGTGCTGTGGACAGAGATATATTTATTTAAAATTTTATTCTGAGATGACACACCTGAGCTTTGTCTTCTAGGTGATTGCTTTTCTTTAAACTTGCACAGTTAATACACCAGCTATGATTCAAAAAAATTTCAGACATAATATAATCTTGTTGCTAACTTGCTATGGTAACTTACTGCAGTTGGCCTTGTCACCGACTTCATCTGAATGGTCGTCGCAGTCAAAGTCTCTGTCACATTTCCAGTTCTCATATATACACTCTCCACTCTGACATTTGTACATGTTTGTACCACATGTGACTGTCAAGAAATAAAAAAATGCAATGCAGAATAAACAAAAACTGTCCCAGAAACACCATGCTCCACTTTTCTCAGTTATCAAAGGTATGAAAAGTGAAGTTGACAAGAAGGTATAATTCTGCAACTGCTATGCAGAATTACCTGCTTTTGATAGTAAATAAGTATTGAAAGTCTTGCATGAATATCTGTAATGGTAAATGAGAAAATCAATACAATATAAAAAAGGACAATAATTAAGAAAATGACTTTCAGGATTATCTCTTTTTTAAGTGCATTTTTCAAAATTGAAAAGGTTATCCAAATTTAAGGTGACAACGGAGTCAATTATCACTGAAAATACCTAAAATGAGACTTTTTGCTAAGTATATTTATCAACCTTTTCTGAACATATTCGTGATTTAATTTTGGAAGCAGTTAGTCCAAAAAATGTGTTTTTAAACGTTTTAAAACGGTACCTATATTATTTGTATCTGCTATTCGCGTAACCTGTCGATTATCGATAACGCTCCGCCCCCTGTTGAGGCATCAATGAGGGAAATCAGTAGTTCCATATATCCGTGAATTACAGGTCCATACTGGTCCAAACTTCTCTTAATACATGTATCATACAACTACAGTACATTTTTTATGAATATCTCAACATTTAGCCTTTTTTATAAATTAAGAAATTGTTGGCCAATGTGTGTAACTTAATGTATGAAACATAAATGATTAAGCATAGCGGAAAATTGCATGACCACGGGGTTGATTAAAAATGTAGTTGTTAAAATATCAATAATGTGTGAAAATAATTTGTCTGTCCCGTTAATCTGATAGATATTACATTGAATTGATAGATTTTTATACGGATTCAAGGGCTTACATTACATTCAACCTCGTTTTCTAACAATGTCAAGTAAAACAACAACAAAAACCGACAACATTTTTTATGTGAATGCGTATATGACTTGTAATAAGGTGTCCCTGACAAATTTCTAAACCATTTTAGATTGTCTAAGGATGATTATTTCTCTATGAATAAAAAAAAAGATATTAAAATATATTCTCAGTGAAAATAAATTGTTCGCCAGTAAATCGGACAAGTACAGTACTAACTAGAAATGTGTCATCATGCCACGGATGCCCCCGCATGCAGCCAAAATTTCAAATTGTTTAATATTTAGTTACAAATTTGTTTGCACAAATTATTTTTTTCATTCTATGTTCAAAGCCCTTAAAACTTTTCAATGCTAACACAAACCATTTTTATACAATGTTCAAGGCACTGAAATTATTCAGTCTTAACCTTTTGAAAATAGCATATTGCATATTTGTAGCCAAAATAATGGCTATATACATTTCCACAAAAGTATGAGTGCTGAAACTGAAAGTTCAAAATTTTTCTTCCAACATTCAGGAAAGATAAGTTTGTCCAAAATCATTGAACAACGACCAAATTCCAACTTAAACTGCTTATTCCTAAGATGTATCTATATTATTTTCAAAGTGAAAGGGACATAACTCTGCCAAAAAATCATCGAACCATGGCAAAATTCCAACTTGACCTGCGCATTCCTTTGACATATCCATATGTCAATTTTGAGTTGAATATGTAACACTGTTGGGTTGATAATGAACAGAAACTGTAAATTTCATATCATTTTCAAAGTGAAAGGGGCATTACTCTGCCAAAAATCATTGAACCATGACCAAATTCGAACTTGGCCTGCGCATTCCAAAAATATCTCCATATGTCAAATTTGAGTTGAATGTGTAATACTGTTGGGGAGATAATATTAATAAACGGAAACTGAAAATTTTATATTATTTTCAAAGTAAAAGGGGCATAACTCTGCCAAAAATCATCGAACCATGACCAAATTTGAACTTGACCTGCGCATTCCTTTGACATATCCATATGTCAAATTTGAGTTGAATGTGTAATACTGTTGGGGAGATAATAAACGGAAACTGAAAATTTCATATTATTTTAAAAGTAAAAGGGGCATAACTCTGCCAAAAATCATCGAACCATGACCAAATTCGACCTTGACCTGTATTTTCTCATGACATATCCATTTGTCAAGTTTGAGTTGAATGTATTGTACCATTGGGGAGATAATGAACGGAAACTGAAAATTTCATATTATTTTCAAAGTGAAAGGGGCATAACTCTGCCAAAAATCATCAAACCATGACCAAATTTGAACTTGACCTGCGCATTCCTTTGATGTATCCATATGTCAAGTTTGAGTTGAATGTGTTGTACCATTGGAGAGTTAATGAACGGAAACTGAAATTTTCATAGTATTTTCAAAGTAAAAGGGGCATAACTCTGCCAAAAATCATCTAACCATGACCAAATTTGAACTTGACCTGTATTTTCTCATGACATATCCATATGTCAAGTTTGAGTTGAATGTGTTGTACCGTTGGGGAGATAATGAACGGAAACTGAAAATTTCATATTATTTTCAAAGTAAAAGGGGCATAACTCTGCCAAAAATCATCGAACCATGACCAATTTCAAACTTGACCTGTATTTTCTCATGACATATCTATATGTCAAATTTGAGTTCAATATGTGCAACGGTTATTAAGATAATGAACGGAAACTGATGATGACGGAAGGACGGAAGGACGGAATGACGGAATTACGGAATGACGGAATGACGGAACAGGGTAACACTATATGCCCTTGCCATTATATGGCGGGGGCATAATAAATCTGGGACAAAGTATGAAATTTATCGTCTATCCCGGTAGAAACTGGATCTCTATGCCGTGCATAGATGATATTCATGATAATAGAAGTCAAGAAGGCCAGATCATAATGATCGAGTAATTCCTTTTATTTCTATTAAAACATGTGAAGCATTATCAATTTGGTGGAAAAAAATATAATATCCCGTTCTTATTTGTACATCTACCATAGAATTTAAAAGAATGTCAGAAGCTCAGTTTATTTGTTATTTTGTTTTATATTTTAACGGAATTTCATACACGAATACACAGGCAGAGGGACACTGGTATAATACAATAATAATGCTGATGATAATAATAATAAACTTCAAAAAGGAAACAATTAAATACCCCGCTAGCGGTGCGCAATTGCGTTCCATTTCCCCCCACTGAGTGCCTCAGATTTTACCAATAGTCACGTGACATGTGCGACAGATACCAGACGGACAGTAATTCACGTTAAGAATTGAAGAAATTTCGGCTATAAACTGATATTAATTAGCAGCTTTTTAATTGGTCAGATGTCACTGGGACATAAAATGTTGTTAGAGTATGTTACCGCAACTTGTGACCCTCTCTGGTGCGATATTTGTGTATTATGCAATTATTTAGCGTGAAACGTGGGGGTCCGAGAAAGAACAGCCGATTTATGACACTTCGTTTGATGCGGGTCGGACTAACTTTGAATCGGCATAACGTTTTTAATAATCAAGCAATTAACATGCGGTTTAAAGCACATGAAAGGAAATTCATTTACGGAGGGAACCGTGTCAGGGATTTTTATTTGCTCAATCAGCGACTTAATTATCTTTAATTACGTAATATGTATGGTGAAAAAAGTTGCATAAAATGTTTGACGTTACGTAATATTTTTTTGAGAAAAGATAGAAAAAATTTGAGACACGGTTCCCCAGATAATATAAGTATGGTTATTTTCCAAAAGTTTGATGACAAAAATATAAAAAATAACTTTGATATGACGATTTAAAATTTTAGGATTTTTATTCAAAATCAATCATTTACAAAGGCATTTTTTTCAAATATGTTATTTTTTATGATGATCAACGACATTTAATGCACAAAGATTAAATAAATAACATTTATTACTAAAAAAACTTAGTTTAAATGACATTTATGTGAGTACCACGGAAAGTGTCTGTTGTCACCTTAAAGAAAATACCTTTGTATATAATATTGGCATAAATTTGCAAAATATAACTTTAAGATTATCTGTTTTGTGAAATGGCATCACATTTTGAAAATGAACAAGTACAGAATAGCTATGATAGTTCTGAGAAATTAGACCTAAAAACAATTTTTTTATCAATTAATACTTTTCTGTGAAAATTTTATGTATTTTTGTAGTAGTGTTTATTGTAAATTTATTACCGTTTATTGTGGCTTCTGTTACCACCTTATATATGTAAATATTTACAGACAGAAGGCCATATTCGAATAAAGTTGTATGCTTATTATGTACTCTTTATATGTCACCTTTTCAATTATTATCATTATTATAACAACCTTATTCTTACAACAGGTACAAGCTACCATGACCTTCAGTTTAAACATAGTTATATAAGCTTGATAGCCAAACAAGATTTTGCAACTTATATTAATCACTTTCGAGTCCATTGCTTGGTACTAACCAGTACTGGTGCCATATGAAGTGACACAGTTGTGGCCTAAGTATGGCTCGAACCCATCAACCCTGAGTTATGAGGCTGGCACCTTAACCACTAGACCATATTTGCTAATTTTTAAATATATTTTTCATCATATTTTCCATTGTAGCTATTGAACTTTTTCCTGATATGCTTGCACAATTTATGACACAACAATGTTACTACATATTTTCATCAAAATATAGCTATACAGAAAATTTTCTGCAAGCATAATATGAAAAGTACAAGAGCTACAATGGAAAGTTGAGTCCAGCACTTTAAAGTGTTGAAAATTGAATACCCCTAAAGCCGATGCTTGGGGGCGTGCGGGATGTTGCACTTAATCATTATCTCTCATGTACAGACTCAATCAAACCGAGTCTGCAATTTTCATGTTATTTTGTTGTTTTTAGTGCTTCTGAGGGATCACATTTTTCCAGATGTTCATGTGTGACAACTTGGCTGTCATAATTGCATATCACAAGATTATAATTATATGTAATTCAAGAATTTGGAGAAAAAAAGAACATACTTTGGGTACAATTTGCTTCATCACTCTTGTCACCACAATCAAAATGGCTGTCACACTTCCGGTTTTCTGGTATACATGTCTTTCCAGTTTTACATTTCCAATGCCCTTCTTGGCATACAGTCGCATCTGAAAATTGTACTTATTAATTATTAATTATTTATACTGTGAGAAAAAGGGACTCTGTCAATGTAACTATAAAATAGTTACAAAACAAAGTTCAACTTTTGTATGAATAAACATCATAACATGAAAACAAATATCAGCACTACAATCATAATTTTTTTTTAATTAAATTATTTCATTAATGTTTTACCAGAAAATTATGCCAAGAAAAGTTCTCATTTTCTGCTCATGCTATTTCATGTGACTATACATGTATAATGTTACATGTTTTATTATGCTGAATCTTACCAAGACATTTTAATTAATACACACACACTTTATGAGGACATTCTTGATACAGAAATATCACGGTATCATTTTCACAACTTATTAAGTAAAAGAAAAATGTTCAGCATCTAATTGAAAATTTAGGTCCATTTAAATATGTAAAGCAGATTGTTTTGGCCTTCATCCTAAAGTTAAGCATAAATCAATGACATAAATACAAATTACTGCTTTGAAAGAGATCACCCAGAACATCATCATCATTATCATCATCATTATCAATTACATCATCAATAACATCATCAGTATTAACATCATCATCAGCAATATCATCATCATCATTAACATCATCATCATTAACATCATTATCATCAATAACAACATCATCATCAGCTGCAAAATCATCATTATCATTATCAGTATGAACATCATCATCAATAACAACATCATCATCATCATCAACAACAAGCACCTACCACAAGAAGCTTCATCACTGTTGTCAAGACAATCACCATTGCCATCACATCTATATTCTTTTGGAATACACACGCCACTTTTACATCGGAACTGATCCGTTCGACATCCACACAGATTGAGGGCCTCGTCTGAACCATCCCGGCAGTCAACTACTCCGTCACACTTCTTTGACAGAGCAATACACTGACCTTGTGTTCGATTGGTGCAAGTGAACATGGAAACTGGGCATAATCTGTTTTCTGTAATTTAGTTAAATAATATTTAAAATCATCATTTAACGCTGCAATGCTTCCAGATGAGCCAAAAATATTTCAAGAAAATCAAACTGAAGAAAAATGTACAGAGCTTTTAAGAAAAGTACACAGATTCAAGATAAAAGTAATATTTTCCATGTTATGTGTGATTGCAGTATTTCTCACCATATTTCTACTGTGTATTTTACTATTTAATACAGTTTCAAAATTACCAGGAATCTGGAGGCTGCCCTTAAAATTGGATCCTTAAAACAGAGGTCACTTTTTCCAAACAGGCACATTTTTTTTTTTTTTTTGGGGGGGGGGGGGGGGGGGGGGGGGGGGGGGGGGGGGGGGGGGGGGGGGGGGGGGGGGGGGGGGGGGGGGGGGGGGGGGGGGGGGGGGGGGGGGGGGGGGGGGGGGGGGGGGGGGGGGGGGGGGGGAGATTATAAACAAGTAAATATTTTTTTCGCAGTCCCATTGAGTTATTTTAACATGACTCTTTATCAATAACTAAGCAATGATATCCATAATATTTTTACAATGAACCACCAGAAAAAATTTATCTCAGACAAGAAACCTAATGGCTCAAATATCTCTTAAAGTCATCAAATACTTTTTATCATTGGTTGCATGAACACTGGAAATTAAACCAAAATTAATCTAGGAAATGCATGACAGTGGAAATCTTGCTTCCACAAATTTGTTAAAACCAGAAAAAAAGTGTTCATCCAATATCAAAATTACTTCACAGATTAATGCAGTTTAAAGAATTATGAGAGCTTTCTGGTGGCCCGGAAATATTTTAAACAAATAGCAATACTCCAGATCACAAAATTTTTGAATTTAAAGAGATTTTCTGATCAGTATCAATTTCAGAAAATTTGCCTGTATTATACTTATTACATTTGTTTGTCTTTCTGCTTTTATGCCAATTCAAACACATTTATTGGTCAAATCTCAGCAGTCAATCCACCTAACAGGCTTTCCTTGATAAACTAACTAGTTATTCTAAATATTGAAGGGGTGGTAGCAAAACTGTTGTATTATAAGTCCTTCTTTATTTCATATAAGTTACAACAGTTTTGCGATCAACCTTGAATTATGTCTAATACTCTTCGCACATGATTTCTGAATCAGCAGTGAGGAACAAAATAACCATTTAGACTTTAGTCTTATCCAAGATCAAGGTGTCGCCACAGAAATTTGCCTGGTCAGATCAATGATCGAACCATCCATCCTGTGATTTTTTTCACCTTATATAACAGAGAACCATTAAAGGCCTCTTCCCAATGGAAATTCTTTTTAAATCATACACTTTTCAAAAAAAAAATCATAACTTACAACAGCTTCTTTTACTTCCCAAATTAGCAAATTTAACAATAATATTCTTCCAAAAATCAAGTGCTAAAAGGCCACTTTCCAAATTCAATTATTTGAGAAAAATCACTGCCACTCATGATTACTAAATCCAGTGGATTGCTCTGAATTGAACTGACTTTCTTTAGGCCAGGCGGTCAAGGATATCCTACAAAAGTGCAAGCACTTATATCTAGTAGGGTCTTTACCCACAGCAGACTCCAGAGACAGTTATGAAGGTACAAGAGAATCCGGGTAAACCAGTCCCTGGCTCTTACTGAATAGACCCCTTAGTTCTTACATGCCCAGTGTATAGCACTGACAAAGCTCTACCTATATCCCTATTGAGCTAAGCCAGCTCAGACCTCCTATTCTATACAATCATACATTACAAAAATCCACAAAGAAATGGTGCATTCATGACTACATTCGACAGTGTAGAAGAAATTACATGTATTATCTTCTTAACTGCAGCCTGTCTATACTGCTACATTTTTAACATGTTTATAGCTGCATTCTCTTACATATGTTACATTGTTATTTCTCATTGATTAATCCATGTTTATATAATGACATTTGTATTACATTTATTATGATTATAATTTGTACATATTTCCCTATAGTCAAATCTATCCATTTCCTACACGTTTCAATCATCATTATTATTTTAGTGGAATTTCTTATAGCATCTGCAAATCAAATCATAATTTTATATAGATAAGATCATTAATCATTTTTATGAATTCAGAATAGAGGTAAATTTTAAAACAATTTGAAAACAAATAGAGAAAATATATTTTTTACCTTTTCACAACTTACAAGTAAAACCTTTTTCAAGATTTTTTATTTTTTATTGAATAGACCCCTTTCACAGACATTAGCTGTACCAATGTTATCCTAACACAGACATAAGTAATACCAAAATGTTATCCTTACACACAGGTAAGCTGTACCAAAATGTTATCCCTTTCACAGACGTAAGCTGTACCAAATGTTATCCTTACACAGACATAAGCTGTACCAAATTGTTATCCAAACACAGACGTAAGCTGTACCAAATTGTTATCCTAACACAGACATAAGCTGTACCAAATAGTTATCCTTGCAAAAACTTTGGAGTAATGCATGTACGCTTCTTCAAGCTTTAAATTATGAGAAATATACTTACTGCAGACAATAGAAAGCTCATCTGATCCATCCACACAGTCTGTGACCCCATCACAACTCTTCTGATATGGTAGGCAGAAACCATTCAGGCAAGCAAAAGCTTCATATCCCAGGCCAATACAATTGAAGTTTGCTGTAAATATATAGAGAAAATGATTAAATTTTCTTAACAGGTCATTAAATGTTCAATGGAGTTGTTTTATTTAAAAGGTTTTAAAAAGTTTGGATCCAATCAGATCAGGGCAATAAGTAAGTCCTGAACTTTACTTCTCATGACGGGTCAGACCTTTTTTGGGTGATTGGACATTGGACACAGCAATAGTAAAAGTCACAGTAAATCAGGAATCAAAGTTATGCATTGTCTTTAAATGCCAACTACCCTAGGGTCCCTGTCACTAGTTGACTGTAAGGTAATCTTAGGTCCTTAGTTTTTACCCTGCTTCTGTTGTCTCCCTTCTTCTCTAACGATACACACACGGCCTCAAGTAAATCAACTGTTTAGACCAATCTTCATTACAGACAATGCAATTATTGTGGTCTTTTTATATAGTTTGATGGAAACAATTTGCTGTAGACAGAACAACAAAACAAGAAGGCCATTCTAGCTCTATATCGCTCTACTCACCTGACACAAAATTCAACCTGACCATGTTAGAACTTATGAAGATTGAATGGATTTATACATGTAATATTTATTCTCCTATGACAGTTTGTGTGAATCCTTGATATGTGATAAATCAAAGTATATAAATTAATATGATGGCTATGTGAACAAAATTGATGGGGAACAGGCAAAGGCTGCTATGTATATAAAAGTTGCATTCACATCATCTGTTTAACAAGGTAGGCCAATAATATTTGACCATCTGAATCAGATGCTCAGTACTAGTATCCCAACATTTGCCCCCAATTCTGACGCTTGCCCTGACCCCCCTAGACGTCTGCCCCCACTTTTTTTGCAGTGGCAGACATTTGCTCGCTCTTATGTTTTTAAAAGGGCAGACATTTGCCCCCCTTACATTTTTGAAGGGCAGACATTTGCTCACTCTTATGTTTTTAAAAGGGCAGACATTTGCCCCCCTTACATTTTTGAAGGGCAGACATTTAATTACCCACCCACTCCACTCTGTAATATAAAGTTTGTTCAGTCATCTTAAACAAGAGTAGGTCTTATTACATGCATTTGATCATTATTTTTATATCTTTCTGTTTACTGACTCGCCAACAGGTCAGGGTTCTATGAATTGTCCTCGAACTGTTAGCTATGTAAAGAAGATGAAGTTACAATATTCAAACTTGACAGAAACTACAGCAACCTCATAATATCAATTGAACCTTACAGTAACACTATATAATTTAAATTGAAATACCAGTAACAGTACAAAACCCGTAACCTTGCTATTAATACAATATGATCATATTTTTGCTTTAGTGAGCTAAAAAAAAGAGCTACAATACTGAATTATATCTCAAATCACTATAAACATTGGTGTATTTACAGTAAACAGTTTTATAACCTATATTTTACACAGCACACCTGTTCCAGGAAAGTAAATTCTCTCCTATCATTCCCAGTATGCATATTATATAATAGGTAGTCCAGGTAATAATTCTCTGTCAACAGATCTAAGAAAACATGCATTGTTGTTATACCTGGGAGAAAATACTAACCTAACAGCATACAATATCAACATTGGCAAAACAGAAAATTCAATGCCAAACTTTTAAGTGCCATCTCAAAGCATGAATTTGTCTTCCATTATTGAAACAGGTCAAGGAGTGCTTGTTGATGAAAAGAAAGTCAAAAAGTTTAGTGTGAATTTTTTTTTTCTAGGTAGGCAATTTGAAATAAATTCCTCTCCAATCATTTTCTTTGCATCATTATGAAATCAGAAGCCTACACGTAAAAAATCTACCAGTGACATCAATTTCAGATATAACGTCAAACCCTTCTGCAAGATTCAAACTAAAAAAATAGGCATTTTATCCCACTCTTATTACTTTGCCATGGAGTAAACTAAAACAGAATTTCAGGGGAGGGATTTTTGCTCAAGGTGTCTGTTTTTCAACTGTGGATTGTGCGAGTCCAAGTCTTACACAAGTACCAAGCAATGTTTCCTTATAATGCGCATCAGTACTGGGTTAGTTCATGGAGGACTTGAAAATGTGTAATCTGAGTTGAAGCATCATGCTTTAAATAGTTTCAAACCAATGAAAATTTCGACAAATATGCATCAAATAGTCAGACTATTAGCCATTTAAAGTAGATGCGAGAAAATAGAAATCCCTAGATAACCATTTAGAATATTCAAACTTGACAGAAACTAGAAGTAAAGTTCTTAAAATAGCACTCAGCAGGTGTCTGAGGAATGACAGGAAACCTATCAAGTTTACAGCCAACTTCATTTGTTTGTCAGTTGAAACCTTACAAGTTCTAAACTCAGGATAAAATAGGACTAAAATAACAAAAACATGATACAAAAACATCTAAATCAACCCAAAGGAAACCAATAATCAGCCTAAAGGAACTAAAATGAAATTAAGCATGAATTCTAGGAAAATGCATACCCAAAGGAACAGTGAAATTTTCACTGAAAAAAACTTTGACAAAATGACAATCAGTAAGGCTTTAAGTCTAAGTTCAGGATATAAAGAGCAATTTAAATTACAGAACAACTGTTATGTGTCAAACTTTAATTAGTTTAAATTTTCCTGATGTGTCCCCCCCCACCCCCTTATATAAGATGGTAAGACAAACTTTATTTATAGTCAGTAATGGTTAACAGTACAAAACATAAGCTTTCAGCTTGTATCCTACATGATATTCTTTATTAAAACCAATATATGAGTCAAATTTCTGTGTCAATTTTTTCAACAGGTCGAAGTTTTCATGCTAATTTGAGAACATTTAAAATAAGTAAAGGGTCTTTGATTAATTTGACGCCTTTGATCTGGAATTTCACACCTTTTGTAAGTCACTTCAACTGCCAGAAATGTCGTCATTAAATTGAGTCAAAGTGCCAATGTCTCAAGTTTTTCTATTGTTTTCACATTATGTAGATTCGTGCAAACTCTTAGTCTAAAACCTAAACAATCTACCAATCACTTTAACAATAATTATTATGGACAGATTTAAATGAACACTTTTAATCTTTCAATCTGCACAAAATCATTCATTATTATAAGATATACACTGATTGAATAACAAACATTGCACAGATATGCTGGATGATCTTCGTCTTCAATGGTTGCACACCACCAACTGGTTATAAATTACACATAAAACAAGATATCTTTACAGACAGTTCACACAATACCATAGGCATTTTTTTTAACTTTATCTTTTTTTCCGACAAAGGAGGAGCGATAGTCATTTTAAATAAATCCGATTACATTGCCGAAGGTTTAAGACAACTCAACGACAAAAACACATACAGGACCACACCCTACGATCTTACGAACAAATCCACCAGAGAGATCAACAATTTTTTAACATATCTGAAGAAACACTCCCTTATGTCACAGCAACACATCAGCTACCTTACTGCGAAAAATTGCAGGACACCCATCTTCTATTTATTACCTAAAATACATAAGCCTAATAACCCCGGACGCCCCATCGTCTCAGCTTGTGGAAGTCCTACAGAAAAATTATCCGAATTTGTAGATCACTTTTTACAACCATTAGCACGTAAAGTCCCATCATATATTAAAGATACCCGTCATTTCCTAGAAAAAATACACGAATTAAACAACGTACCTAAAGACGCATTCTTAGTCACAATAGATGTGACAGCACTTTACACTAATATTCCACACAAAGAAGGCATTTTAGCAGCCAAATATGCACTACAACAAAGATCTGAACAAGAACCTAAAACCTGGATCCTTCTAAGAATACTTTACTTCATACTCAAGAAAACATGTTTCAGATTCAATGATACATTTTATGAACAAATTGCCGGAACCACGATGGGTACCAAATGCGCACCTAGCTATGCGATAATTTTTATGGATAAGATAGAACAAGAGTTCCTAGCTAAATACCCGATATCTCCACTGGTATGGTGGAGATATATTGACGATATATTTATGGTTTGGCCACACTCGAGAGAGGATTTGAATTCCTTCACTACGGCCTTAAATAGTTTCCACACAACGATCAAGTTTACGGTAGACATAAACCAATCATCAGCAAACTTCTTGGATGTTACTGTCAACAAAGACTTAAAAGGAAAATTATCAACCACACTATACACAAAACCAACGGATGCACATATGTATTTACACTATAGCTCATTCCATCCACGTCACCAAAAAGCAAGTATCCCATATAGCCAAGCCGTCAGAATAAGGAGAATATGCAGCACTGACGAACAATTTGAAATATGCACAAAACAACTTACGGAAAACCTTATTGCACGCGGTTATCCCAGAAAATTAATATACGAAGCCATCAAAAAAGCCAAAATTACCAATCTTGATACCAATGTCGATACTAAAGCACAAAAGGAAATTATACCGCTTATAATTACTCATAACCCGCTTATTCTAAGAACAAATAATATCATCTCTAAATACACCCACCTCCTGGAAAACGACCCCACTTTTACAATGTTCAATGAATACAAAATATGTACAGTATTTCGAAAACCAGCATGCCTAAGAAACACACTCACAAAATCAGACATCAATCCCCAGATGAAACCACAATTGTATCGCATGCAAACATATCAGCAGTAAATCATATGTTAAAATTCATTCAACAGGAAAATACTTTCATATCAAAGGCACATAATTATGACTGTAATTCATCCAGTTTAATCTATTTAATAACATGCAATAAATGTGGTATACAATATGTAGGACAAACCGGCAATACTATAAAAGAACGTCTATATGGCCATTTCGCAGACATAAAAAATGCCAACAATTATAAACCCGTTTCCCGCCATTACACAACACACGAACACAACGTTAATGACGTCGACGTAACTATGTTATTATCAACACCTAAGAACGTCAACATCCGCCTCAGAACTGAAGAAACACTTATATCAATATTTAAAACACGATCACCATCCGGACTCAACTTAATACAGTAATAATGGACATCCAAAGTAATTTACAGAA